AAAATAAAATTTGGTAGACATCTTTAATACTAAAAAATCTAGTGCCCGATCGTGGCTTTTGTTTTTTCGTTGCGTATTTTTTTTTTAATAATAAAAAAACGAGCGAATTTTTGGTAGCAAAATCATACCTTCAAATTTGAACAGCCGCCATTTTGTCGCAAATTAATTTTTCAAAAAAATGAACGATCGGGCACTAGATAATCTTATATATTAACTAAATTTCTCGGGTTTTTTGATTTCTGGTAAACCAGTTCAAAGTTAGAGTGGTCACCGCAAAACGCTTTTCAAAAAACTGCTTCTGGAAGATTAAGCATATCTTTTTTATTTATCAACATTTTGCAATAAAAAAAATACTAAATAATCTTTGAAATATATATATTTGAAAACATAAATGTTCCTTTCCAAAGCACTTCAAATATTTAAAAAAAAAATTCCCAAAAATACGTGTTTTTCAGACCTTGCAGGTAGGTATAACCCCTTAAAGATTAGTATCAGATATTCCTAATTTAAAAAAATAATTTATTTTTACATATGACAAAAATATATTATTTTATAGTGCATAGGCAAAGAAAGACCACGAAGAAAGACATAATACATATAAATCGAGCAGGAGGTATCAGACTTGAGTTCTGAAAAATTACATCAAATTATGTTACACGTTACTTATATTCGTGGACACTTCTCTTAGGTTCTTCGAGTCTCCTTTTTCGAGCCATTTATTAATTTCATCCATTCTTCTATAAACTAAAACCATTCAGTGACAAACACTGCACACCACTATAAAATTGTAACACTATATAACTATAAAATTGTATCACAATAACTATATAAGTTGCTAAAACAATATGATCCTATAACGCTAAAACGTCTCCAAAAAAGATTATCCTTTATTACAACAAAGAATAGCTTCTTAATTTTAGAAAATGTTTTAGAAAATGTTTAAGAATATCCATTAGGAAGAATTTTATAGGATCCAATCCTCTTACTTGAAGAATACAATTTTTTAGTAAAGACACTAAAACTATTCAGTGACTGCACAGCACTATAAAATTGTAACACTATATAACTATATAAGTTGCTGAAACAATATGTTCATATAACGCTAAAATGTCTCCAAAAAAGATTATCCTTTATTACAACAAAGAATAGCTCCTTAATTTTAGAAAATGTTCTAGAAAATGTTTAAGAATGTCCATTAGGAAGGATTTTATAGGATACAATCCTCTTACTTCAAGAATACAATTTTTTAGTAAAGACACACTAAAACCATTCAGTGACTGCACAGCACTATAAAATTGTAACACTATATAACTATATAAGTTGCTGAAACAATATGATCATTTAACGCTAAAACGTCTCCAAAAAATATTATCCTTTATTACAACAAAGAATAGCTTCTTAATTTTAGAAAATGTTCTAGAAAATATTTAAGAATAACTATTAAGAAGGATTTCATAAGATCCAATCCTCTTACTTCAAGAATACAATTTTTTAGTAAAGACACTAAAACCATTCAGTGACTGCACAGCACTATAAAATTGTAACACTATATAACTATATAAGTTGCTGAAACAATATGATCATTTAACGCTAAAACGTCTCCAAAAAATATTATCGTTTGTTACAACAAAGAATAGCTTCTTAATTTTAGAAAATGTTTTAGAAAATGTTTAAGAATATTCATTAGGAAGGATTTCATAGGATCCAATCCTCTTACTTCAAGAATACAATTTTTTAGTAAAGACACTAAAACCATTCAGTGACTGCACAGCACTATAAAATTGTAACACTATATAACTATATAAGTTGCTGAAACAATATGATCATTTAACGCTAAAACGTCTCCAAAAAATATTATCGTTTGTTACAACAAAGAATAGCTTCTTAATTTTAGAAAATGTTCTAGAAAATGTTTAAGAATATCCATTAGGAAAGATTTTATAAGATACAATCCTCTTACTTAAAGAATACAATTTTTCAGAATGTTTCCATATCTACTAGAAATTGCATGTGGACGCGTGAACACAACTCCGCACGTCTTTCTTTGTATCATTCGTGTGTATCGCGCACGTATTTTTCTTCGATCCGCGAAAAGCGAATGCAGATATCAGCGAAAGGAAGAGAGAAGAAAATCCGTGTGTTCGCACTAAGGGTATTGGATTTGTTGGAGGTGTGTTGAACAAATGATTGCGCAGCTACCGCCGCGGAAAACTGCCTTGGGTGGAAGCGGTTTCGCCTATCGCCGCCGCCGTTGCTGCGTTTTCTCGCTTTTCCCTTCTCCCGGGGTCCGAGGGTTGTCGAACGAAGAAAGTTTACGGGCTACAAAGCACTCCCGGAGAAAGTGTCGAGAGCACAATCATCTCAAACTTCTCCACTTTCATCTCGCGCTTCGCTTTCCTAGACGAAACACGTGACGTGAAAGAACGCGCGGAGTGTTACATGTCCGCGATAAAAATCTTGCATCAAAGGATAATATTATTTTACGTTAAAAAAAAAATAAAACGCGAAAAAGGTTATTACATTAATATTCTTATTCTTACAAAATAAATTGAAAAAATATACAAAATGTGTTCTTTTAGATAACATAAAATATTGCTGAAATTGTGGCTGTAACAAGAAAATGTTTTATATAAAAGTTAAAAGATTTTGAAAGGAGAAAATTAAAATATCTCATAAACTATTAATTTTTTAGCCATTACTTACTATGTCAAATATCGTGAGAAATCGATATTAAAAAAATTAGAGTGGTTCCATTTAAAAAAGTAAGTTGACCAAATAATCTTAAAATTAAAGATTATCAATTTTCTTCCCTCTCGAAACCTTTCAACTTTTGTACGAAATATTTTCTCGTTACAGCCAGTTTTAACAATATTCGATTATTAATTGAAATGGACACTCTGTATAAAAATTTTCAAATTATATCTAATATTCTAACTGCGCATTTTTTTCGAAAATACAGGATAATACCTGAAACGTCAGTGAGCGAGGAGATCTAATCATCGAGATGCGGCGCGATATTTGCCGCTGAGGAATTTCATGAGACGAGACGGCAATCGGAATCGCTCTCGCACGGTACGCATACTCGATGAAGCGATTCGCGACGAGGGGTCCTATCGCTTATATTAATTTGTGCCGGCAAATAAGGGCGCCGATTTTCCCGAGTGTGGTCTCTCGTACGCTTCCTTGTCGCCGTCGCATTATTAAATACGATTTGCGCATTCCGTTCGCGGAGTCGCTGATCAAATAATATGCCCGAGATTTATATCGTCTTGAAAGGAAAGGAAGAATCTCGATTTCCCCGATAGCAGGGATAAGACAACGTACCCTCTAAAATTTCAGGAACGTTATTTACAAATAAATTGCTTTCCCTTTCCCTTATCGTAATTTTAATTGTAGAATTTTAAGTCAGAATAATAGAAACATGTAAGCGCGATTAAGATTAGCGATGGGATTAAGTGTCTTATAAGTAGGTTCAAATTTGTTCACATTTTTCGAAATTGGTTTAACTTTAAACAATTCAAGAGCTTAAAATGTAGTTAATTGTATCTACTTTTTGATACTGAGTGGCGTTTTTCAAAATTTAATATGACAGACTTAATATAGTTATAATCAGTGGACAACTAAAAAATTGGAATTTCAATACAAAAACCTTCATAAATTATGTATTTTGCAATTATTTTGTGGCATTTTGGATAGAAATCGTAATTTCTGCGGTCGCTGATGACAAATCTGATGTACAAGTGACATATGATATACAGGGTGTCTCGCATAAATGTACAAATTTTTTTTCACCATTGTAAGAGATCTTAACTTTATTATTAATATTTTTTTTTTTTAATTAAATGAAACAAAAAGTCTAAACATTTGAAAAATAAAAAAATGTTGGGAGGCTTTTAAGGAACAAAACAATTTTTAAAGAAAAACTGTGACGCAAAGATTTACTTTCGTAAGAAAATTCAAATTTTTTTACCGTCCACTGCTTATAGCTGCTATATTGAATTTTGAAAAACGCCACTCGGCATCCGAAAATAGATGCAATTACGTAGCTAAATTTTAAGCCCTTACACTGTTTACAGTTAAACCAATTTGGAGAGCATGGGGTGTCCGATTGAGAAAGAATGCCCCGAATATACTTGATCCTATTGAAAGTATATACTTATGTACCATAGGTACATAAGTATATACTTTCAATAGGATCAAGTATATTCGAATCTTTCATGAGCACTTAGGAGAAAGTGGAGGTAGGTGAATATGTATGTATGTGGGATGGGAAGTGTATATATGCGTGTGGATGTGAATCATGTATCATAAATAGATTTTTTATCTTAGAGTTTGAGTAATACTTGTAAAAATTTTAATTTTTCAAACTAAATTCAAATATAATTATTTTAGATTTGATTAATTTGTAAATACAATATATGAAGTATATTATTCCTCACCATTATTCGAATCTTACCCAAGGAGAACAGAAAAGTCAAAATGATGTCAATTTGACGTCATATTGACTAAATTTATGTCATGGAAATCTCGATCTCGAAAATGATTAAAAAATGACTTTTTTGATCTTTTTAATTAAAAAAAAAATTGATGTACGTTTCTCAACTGTGTATATACAATGCTATTATTATGAAGATAATTAAAAGTATTTTTCATATTCAGATATCATTGCAGTTTGCGGAAGAGTTGAGTTATTGTATTAAAAACTAATTTGTTGATGAAAATATTATTTTAAGCAGCTTATGTCTTAAATTTGCATCTCAATTATTTTTAATACAAAATAATAATTTTTTATCATTGTAAACATCAAGATAACATCAAAATTTTATGTAATTTGATGTCATTTTGACGAACTAAAATGACCATGTTTTGACATTAATTTGACATAATTTTGACATTTCTGTTCTCCTTGGGCTAGAAAAATGAAACTTAATTTGACTTGGATTTTCGACTACGTATTTTGATCCCATTCCTTAATTAAGATCACTTGGCTCACTGCTCACCTGGTGCCTCCTTGTGACACTTCATATACATCACTTCACGAAGAGCTCACTCTCTGTTCGATTTTTGTCCGTCGAAATAAATAAACAGAGGGTGATTTCGGAAGGAGCGAGATGCGCAAAAATTCGGACTCGACGCGAGCAAATCGTGCGCGTGTCGGCCACGGCAGACTGTATCCGGGCACTGAAACCGCAGGTTGGTTCAAGGTGGAACGAGTTGTACGGTGGAACGAGAAGAGAGAAAGACGAGCGCTAGAGAGTGGTTCCATTCTCGAAAGATGCGCGAGCCACGTAATCCTTATTCCGCCTTCTGCTCTCGCGGCGGTTCCTTCGTCCAAAATAAATAAGCTGGAATGTTAATTAGCCGTCATATATATTCTCGCGCCGTCGGACAGTTTCGGATCAGATGAAATCACTGAATTTTCGAGAATAGTCGGCAGTTTTTGGATATTAATTAGATCGGTTTGAACATTAGATCTCCCATTTTGAATTATATTTTGAATTATTACAAAAACAGACGTGAGGTCAATCACGATGATATATTTGACAGAGATTTCTTAAAAATTTCGATGACTATATGCCATTATTAGATCCTTATCGACATATACCGATGATTCTGAAATTCTGTTACTCTCTGATTAAGTGGGTTCTAAAATAAGTGACCAAAGAGAAGAATCGTCGCTCTCCATATTTGTGCTTATCTAAGTATCTTTATCGTCAATAATAATCATATATCAACAATAATTTAATATACGTCAAGATAAGAGACGGAAGTTTTCGAAGCAGGTGATAAATTTATGTGAATATTTAGCGTTTTTATTAGCACATAGCTGTGAAACAATCATCTTAAATGAATTAACGTAAATTAGACACGTCATCGTATTTAGAAGCACGAATATAAAGGTGTATAAAATGCAGTTCTCCTTATACGTTACAATTCTCTTCATTTATTAATTCGATAATATAATTTTACACATGTGACAATAGCGTGCTCACGTCAGATTAATTATCCAAGGAAAAGATCCAAATAAACTAATATATTATTCATCCGTTCCCGAGAAGAAATAATCAATGATAAAATTCGCGCTTGAATTTTAATTCGCTGTAATATGCTGATCGATATATTATTTGCCAGGCAAATATGTATATATTCATATGTCGATCGTCGGAAATCCTGGCGACGGTTGTATGTATATATATAACGTAAGAACAAGTCGGTTCTCACGAGGGGACATGCATTTCGCAGTCGCTCGTCCACCATGTCGAGTGAGCCCTGCATGACAGGCGTACAGAAGAGATCGGACTTTTCTTCTGTCCGTCGCATTAATTACACCGTGGTTGTGTCCCGGAACATGACGGAGACAAAAATCGCGTCAGAGCGCCCGAATGAACTGCGAGAAGGGAACTGTGTCGCGAATGAAGCAAATTGACTGCAGAGTTTGTTAACAGCAGGACGTGCCATAAATAAAATTTGACGAAAAACTGGTGCAAAGTTACGAAAATTTTGTACCTAAGCGTGTAGAGTGGATGACATTAGTCATCCACGTGCACAAATCTGCAATTTTTCCATTCTTTTTATGTGTCAACAATCTTTTTAAAATTTAAGTTTAATACGTATATTTAAATAAATAATACACTGATAAAACATATGTTTATTTATTCTAATTCGTCTTTTAGATACGGATGACAGATGTCATCCATGCGACCTCTAACGTTTTATTTAACAGTGCGACGTTTCTAGGATTAATCATAAAATTATGAGTTCAACTACTATATTTTGACTGACTATATAGATTGATAAATCCTTTTCCACAATTAAAATATTAATAATAAATAAAGAACAATCCTCTCTCGACCAAACTGGCAAGTTTTATTAATTCACTTCACAACATTTCGACCATGATTTTAGTTCTTATCAAGTGATCTGTGTACAGAAAAAATAAATTAATTTACAATAATAAAAATCAAAGAAAGAAAGAGAGTAGATAAAATAAATACTTGCAAAAAGTATTAATATTAACAAACTGGGAAGTAAAAAGGATTTTTCAATTTGTATAGTCAAAAATATTCATGCACTGAAAAAAAAATGGTTAACTTGACTGAACCTTTTTCTACTTTTAATTAAATGTTCAATTCAATTCAATTTCAATTGAATATATTGAGAATTGAATACTTTCAATTAAATATTATTTTATTAATTGAACATATAAAAATATTTAAATTAAATATAACATATTAAATCTAATAAAACATATATTTGACTGAAAAACTAATATATGTTCAATTAACAAAATAGTAATTTAGTTGAAAGGTTTAGTCAAGTTAACAAATTTTTTTCAGTGTGGTCAAAACCAACTTCACATTTCGCTAAATTATAAATTTTCTTTTTTTATAATATTATAAATTAGTGTGTATATTTTTTCCCTTAAATCTAATAATATTAATTTTTCTCAATTAAATCTAATAGAAAATTATTAATGTTGTATTATTCTTATTGCGTGTGTATATTTATATATTTTTATTTTTAATTATTATTATATATGTAATCGGATTACAATGAAGAAATTACATAAAGAAATTATAAAATAATAAAGAATTTTGTTATATTTTTGTTTTGTTAAAATAAAATTAAAGACTTAATAGGATATAACAGGATGTGTTATAGGCTCGCCTTAATGAAAGAGAATTAATTTTTCCAAGCGTAATTTTTAGAACGTTCTTTAGAAAAAAAAGACACGCTTCAATTAATTATCAAACGTTTTGTATAAACTCAAGGCAAGAAACTACCTCTACCATTTCTTTTTGACGATTTCGAATATACGTATGCAGGTATGCGAGCAATGAGAATACGAGAGATGAGAATACGAATACGTACTTGAAAAAACCGATGGGTTTTGCGAGAACGATTCGTCGTCGCCGTGTGTCTGCGTCTTCGTATAAACGAGACGCGCGCGTTTCCCCCGTCTTTGATCACGGAATGTTATCGGGCTGTATCGTGCAACGGTTTTCATTACCATTCGTGCACGGAAGGCTCGCGGGCCAGCACCCTCTTGAAAAACATTTGATTTGATTTATTACGAACCGCATAGCCGACGTCGTCGTCGCGTAATGTTCGCCCTTTCTGCTTTTTAAACGCAAAGTATGTCCCCGGACAAGTGTACGAGACACTTAGCAATGCGTATAGATCTTGTCTGGATGCTTTACACGACATATTTATTTTAAAACCAACCTCTTTTCTCTTTTTTGAAAAAATTTATGAGCTTATTTAAATGTATGTACAGTGGACGTTCGTGAGAAATATATTCTGCGTTACGCGATATACATTTTACATAAAGTTCGAAAATACATTGTTCATTATAAAGATAAGACACATCTGTCTCTTAATACAGTATAATAGTAAAATATTTTAATAAATTAATTTTTTAATTTTATTTTAATTGTTTTTAAATTTAATTTAATTTTAACAAAATAAAAAAATGTAACAAAATTTCTTTATTATTTTATAATTTCTTCATTTAATCCGATTACATATATAAATAATAATTAAAAATAAAAAATATATATTATAGATACATATATACACACGTAATAAGAATAATACAATATCAATAATGTTCTATTAAATTTAATTGAGAAAAATTAATATTATTAGATTTAAGTGAAAAAAAATTACACACTAATTTATAACATCATAAATGGAGAAAATTTATAATTTAGAGAAATTTCGTATAACAATCTACTACATCTTTTTGACCGTCATAACAATGTTTCACCCGAGGGTAGGCCTATCGCGGTTATGTTTGCCTATTATTACGAGGAATTTTCGATCGAGAAGATCGATCCCGCGGAGATTATCGATAAAATTAAGCCAGGTGGATCTCCTTGAACGGCGTTCGCTGATTGATGACCTATGCGGAGAGTTTAGCGTGTCGGAAGTGCCGATAATTTCAGCCTGGGTTCTGTCCTCGTTATTAAAGAACGATATCTGATACACCTTTCGACGTGAAGCTGTTCAATCGACATACATTATCGGCCACCCAAAGACCGTGATCCATTAATCACCGAAGTAATAGAACAACAATTTTCAGGTTTAAACATAAACGTTTTGTACGCACAAATGTAGCGTAAAAAATTGCGCGAGATCTCTTATGTCCGATAAAAAAAAATACCATTTATGTGTACATCTGACGTGTGTACGATCTTTTCTATAATATCCCGTGGTTTAAGCGCGATGGTCCGTCTCGATGGTCGGTTTCCTTCGAGCAAAAACCGCCAGCTTGCGCACGTTTCTCCTTCCACACATACACAATTTAAGTATACTTCCCTTGTGTTCTATATATCTACCCCGGATCTTACATAAGAATATAAATATGTAACCGGACTTGTGTTCGGAACGTTGCCAGCGGTTAGAGGATCGATTTTCTGGTAAACGTGAGTAGGGTTTTGCCAAACGTTCCTTCTTTATATAATTTATTATGCGCCGTTATTTACTATCGCGTTCCGATCGAGCTATCATTGTAATCTGACATCCGGCATTTTAATCTTAAACAGGTATTTTAACGAGATGTACAACTCCATAACAATCGTATATTAATTCGTTTTATATTTTATAACTTAATAATGAATAATAAACGATTTAATCGTCACAGAAGATTGTTATTTATCGTTTCCCATGTAAAAACACTTTAATATAAATTTTGGTCTGTTAAGAAATAAAAAACAGAAAATTACTTTAATTTAATTGAAAATTATTTTAACATAAATTTTTTCCATTACAATAAGAGAAAAATAGAAAATTACTCAATAAATAGAGAAAATCACTTAATATAAGTTTAATTTTGTTAAAAAATAGAAAAAAATTACTTTAATTTAATCAAAAATCACTATCGATAATATAAATTTTATTCTGTTAAAAATAAAAAAAAACTACAAAAATTTTGTTGTTATTAAAAAAGATAGAGAACAATAGAAAATCACTTTAATATAAATTTTATTTTGTTTATAAAAGATAGGACAAAAAAAATCTAAATTTATTCTTGTCATTCTCGCTGAAGATTGCGTTTGATGATTAAGCTGTTCATCGAATATATCTTTTTTCAACAGAAGAGAGAGCTGCTCTTAGAAGCATAGGGCAGAAGCGGAGCATCAACCCTGCCGTCGCTAACT